CCTGGGCTGCCGCCGACGACAGCGGGTGTGCGTCCCCGCTTCTGCCCTTTAGCCCCGGGTCTTTTTTTCAGCTCTGGTTTTTTGGCAGCCGGCGCCACTTCGTACCCTCGGACTCTCAGGAATGAAAGTTTTTGCGGAGATGAATGAGCCAGCCTATCTAATAGCAGTTTTATGTTGAAGTTGCCGCCTTTTCTCTTTTGTCCTCCGAGATTCCTTGCACATTCCTCTTGGATATTTCTTTTCAGATTCTGACACAAGTAAAATCTCTTATCACACTGTACGTTCCGTTCACAACACAAGTAAAATCTCTTATCACACTGTACGTTCCGTTCACAAGGGATAATCCTTGTCAAAATTTTAGTAGATTTCAATTTGGGGCTTTTAGATTATGTGCTTAATATTTATAATTCAGATAAGTTGTGTAACTGGTACTATGATTTTCTCCTTGGCCTTATTTCATATAATAAACACTTACAAATTATTTTTAATGTGTGAACCGGTGATATTGTGAGTGGATTCGTATTAAGCATTTGCTTATGTATAATCTATATAGAGATGAAATGTTTGAGATGTTTAGGTATCATTCGGGGGACAGTTTATGATTATGCATTTATACCCTTGGATTTGTTTCCCAGCCTTTCGTTTCCAATATAAACTGTTTATTTTTATTGCAGTTGTAAGCGTGTTATTACTTTCTGACTCCCTTTTCCTTATCATTTTCTGTAATGCAAAAGATCAATTAACTGTAAATATTTATTTGCTACTTGGCCACCCTACTAAATTCTTATTACAGTATCTTTCTCTCCACCCAACATTTTAGTGTAGAAAATTTTCACACATACAGACATACTGAAAGAATTTTAAAGTAACCATTCATATACCTACCACCTAGATTTTACCATTAACTTCGGACTAGACTTGCTCTACTAGTTAGTTACCTGAGCCCTCTATCCATCTTCTTTTCATGAATCAGTCTTCTAGTTGGTTTTGGTGCATTTTATTTATTTATTTTTAATGTTTATCTATTTTTGAGAGAGAGACAGAGCACTAGTGGGGGAGGGGCAGCGAGAGAGGGAGACACAGAATCGGAAGCAGGCTCCAGGCTCCGAGCTGTCAGCACAGAGCCCGAGTCGGGGCTCGAACTCACAGACCGTGAGATCATGACCTGAGCCCAAGTCGGACGCTTAGCCGACTTGGCCACCCAGGTGCCCCGGTTTTGGTGCATTTTAAAGACAGTTGCAGATCACTGCCAGTACTCTAAATGCCTCTGCAATTACATGATTAATAGCGTTCCAATAGCTTTTCACTTGTTTCCTTTGTTTACTTAATGAACAGAGATTTTATTTACAAATAGTCTTGGCCTGTTGTGTAGTGGAATGAAAGTGAATTTTGGAACGAAATTAATCTGATTTTTCAATTCCATTGTGTGACGGGTGTGACCTGTGTCTCTTTCCCACTTGGCAAAAAGAGAAGTTAAACTCTCTCCCTCAGGGTTGTTTTGAAGATAAGTATAGTAAAATACCTAAAATTGTGGTCTGTGATGGCAGGAGCCTAGTGTATTTGAGTAAAAAGGCTGATAATTTCCCCATATTTATGGTTTTGTGCGTGTAAAATTTGTATTTGTAACTCATTTTCTCTCTCCCTACCTCCTTCCTTACTTCTCTGTCTCTTTTTTAAAGTAAACTTGTGAACTTACATTAATGATCTAGCAACAGCAATTTAAATGTAGAATGCCAATAATTTTCTGACTTAAAACATAAGTGCTCTTATGAAAAAATATGAGGAACTAAAAATGACCTCTCAAATATTACACTGTTGTCAGTATTTCTTTTCAGAAGTTCTTAGAAGTGGATTTGTCGGTTACTGGTGATACTTCTATTGCCTGTTTTAAGTGAATGTTAGGTGTGGTTGCGTGGCTAAGTCGGTTGAGCAGCCGAATCTGACTCTGTGTTAAGCCCGAGTCAGGCTTGTGCTGCGTGTGGAGCCTGCTTTAGATTCTCTCTCTCCCTTTTCCCCTCTTCTCTGCTCGGGCTTTCTCTCTAAGAATAAATAAATAAATAGGTAACTAAATAAATTTTAAAAATGTTAAATTATCCCCATGAAATGTCCTGCTCTTTAATACTGACCTTGACCTGTGTATGCTTTAAAATGGTCTAGATTTTTTTTTTTTTAAATTTTTAGAGAGAGTGTGAGTGGGGGAACAGGGCAGAGGGGGAAAGAGAGAGAGAGACATTGAGAGAGAGAATCCTAAACAGGCTCCATGCTCAGCACAGAGCCTGACACAGGGCGTGATCCTAAGACGCTGGGATCATGACGTGGGACGAAATCAAGAGTCAAGACGCCCAACCGACTGAGCCACTGAGGCGCCCCTAGAATTAAAAAAAAATTTTTTTTTTAAGTTTACTTATTTATTTTGAGAGAGGAGAGCAAGCAAGTGGGGTAGGGGCAGAAAGAGTAGGCAAGAGAATTCCAAGCAGGCTCTGCACTGTCAGCACAGAGCCCTACTCCAGGCTTGAACTCACCAACCTCGAGATCGTGACCTGAGCTGAGATCGAGGGTCAGTCGCTTACCCAACTGAGCCACCTAGGCGCCCCTAGAATTTTTCTATTTAAATGTTGTAGCCAGCCACCTGACTAAAGATGTACACAGACGTGTTAGGTGAATACTGATGATTTGCCTTTTTCTATATTCAAAAGTCATCTTTGATTATTTTTTCAAAGTGTGTTGTACTGGGTAATGTTTTCAGATGTAAATTCTCAACTCTACCTTTGTAGATAGAGTGTGAAAGCCTGAGAGAATGGTCAACAAGTGGAGCTGACTGTATTCCCATAAAACTATTTACAAAAACAGGTGGTCTAGGCCCTGTGTTACTGACCCTTGATTTAGATGATTATGTGGCTTTTGTGTTCTCATTTGGAGTTGGGCAGGTAGAGCCCATGAACTGAATCTGGGCCAGTGCCTGTTTTTGTTAATAAAGTCTTATGGGAACTCAGCCACACCTATTTTTTTTTTTTTTTAATATGACTGCTTTTGAGCTATAGTGGTATAGTTGAGTAGTTGCTACAGAAGCCATGTGCATTATATTTTTTTCTCTTTTAACATATAGTTATGTATGCTTAAAAATATATATATTAGTTTTATTCACACTAGAGATTGCAAAATAACATACAGTTTGTCTGTCGAAGTATTATGGTAATTAGTACTTTTATATTCTTCTCTGTCTATACAGAGATTTTAGAACAGTTTTTCACTCACCACTTCTATGTTATATGCTGCCATGGAATACTTTATTTTTTACTTTATTTATTTTATTTTATTATTAATATTTTTTAATGTTTATTTTTGAAAGAGAGAGAGAGAGAGAGAGAGATACAGAGTGTGAACGGGGGAGGGGCATACAGAGAGAGAGGGAGACACAGAATCCTAAGCACTCCAGGCTCTGAGCTGTCAGCACAGAACCCAACGTGGGGCCCGAACCCATGAAACTCGAGATCATGACCTTAGCCAAAGTCTGACACTTAACTGACTGAGCCACCCAGGTGCCCCTGTCACGGAATATCTTAACTCTTCATGTTTTTAAAACCTTCTGAGAGGTGATCATTGTTATATTTCCAGTTGGTACTGATTTAGACTTCAACTCTTATTTACCAGTTTTATTTCTCTTGACTCCTTGCTCCTCTGCTTACATTGGAAGATCCTTTCCTTTTGCTTGAAGAACCTTCTTATTTGCTGTAACACAGGTCTTCTGATGAAGAATACTGTGTGCTTTCGCCTGAAAATTCAGTTCTATTTCTAAAGAATGTTTTTGCCAACTATCCTATACAGGTTTATACTTCTAATACTCTACAGAGTATGAAGAACTGGAATGCAATGAGAAATTATGAAGACAATGTGTTATTATTTGCTTATTAGCATGATGTTCTCAAAATCAAAGTGTATGTCCCCTAGGATGTAAAAAGACTTTTGCAGAGGTAGATGGACATGCATGATTTAAGAGAAAAATGTGTACCTCTTACTGTCTGTGTGTCCTCTTTCCTAAAAATGATGTGCCTGAGGAGGCCCCTGCCACTTGGCCCAGAGCACTTAATAAAAAGACCGATTTTTTTTTTTTTAATTTTTAAATTTTAGTTAACACACTGTGCATGCAATATTGGTTTCAAGGAGTAGAATTCAGTGATTCATCACTTGCATACCACAGCCAGTGGGGGGCGCCTGTGTGGCTCAGTTGGTTAAACATACAACACCCAGTGCTCATCCCAAGTGCCCTCCTTAGCACCCAGCACCCATCTAGCCCATCCCCCACCCACCTCCCTCCATCACTCCTCAGTTTCTTCTCTATCATGAAGAGTCTCTTTGTTATGCCCAGAGTTCGTGATCCCCAAAGACCACCAGGGAGCCGAGTCCGATGCAAAAGCAAAAGAGCCTTTATTCGAGCTAGCTGGAGCTCAATCCCCTACCTGCACCAACACAGTGGTGAGATACCCGGGAGAGAGAGCCAGTTTCAAAAGCACAAAGGTTTTATTGGGGTCTAGGGGCAGTTGGTGAGGTAATGGCTGTGGCCTCAGCCAATTGGCTGGGGAAGGGTTGTGGCCTTGGCCGATTGGCTAGGGAAGGGTCGGAGTCCTGTTACTCAAGGGGAGGAGGCGTGGTCGGCCAGCGTAGGTCCGCCTCTTCATCTTGTGGTTTTTTTCCTTCTCTTTTCAAAAAGACAGATCTTTGGGGGCCTTGGTTTAAGGTGAATGCATAGCGACAGTGACAATATTTGGGCCTAAAGAGATTGTGCCGCTCAGAGTAATTTGCTTTTCAGCCTGTAGGTGCTGGCTCCCCAAGGACAAGAGGAATCCAGGGAAAAAGGAGAAGATTCCAAGACTTAGGCATCAGCATTTCTGGGGAAACCTTTGACTGGAGACTGAGATTTTTGAACAGAAATTTAGAGCTGATCCAGAAGAGCTAAAGACAGAGCATCCCAGTTAGCAGCCATTTCCCAAAATCAGAAGAAGATGATCCAGGCCCAGGTGACTTTTGGTTTCTTTTATTCTTTCCCCCCCCTCCCCCAATGGATTTGTAGAGGCCTGTAGAAAAAAAAAATCAGTGCAATTAAACAAAAAAGTTTGAATTGAGAATAGCAGGATCTGGAGAAATCTGGGCCAAGTAGGATCAGGAACATATTTTTCATAGGATTCATATTTTGTGGCTCTTGTTGGAATATATGTGATTGTGCAAGACCCTGTAGGTCACGATACCTGTCAATGTTGCACATATCTCTGACAACCATCATAAGAGAATCTTGGTAAGTTACATGGTAGGCATTAGTTACTGTGATCTGTTTCTACTGCCAACACTTCTGATACCAAACATGTGAATTTTTTCATACCAACGACCAGTTCCTCAACTCTCTAGACACCACTGTGTACAATTTGATTCAATCTTGACACTAACTACCTGGAGTTACTATCGTACTCCACAAGTTTATAGGGCTCAGTCCCACAAGACTGACCTCATTACAGATGCCAAGCATTAGGTGCCCAGGGTACCCATACTTCTGACTTGGCTACAAATGGGCAGTTCCCACAATCCCTTCCTTGGGTTCGAGAATTCACTCCTGTGGCTCACGTAACTCAGGAAAACACTTTACTTCACATTTACCAGTTTATTATAAAGGCTACAAGATGGGAACAACCAAATGGAAGAGAAGCATAGGGCAAGGTATGGGAGAAGGGGCGAGGACCTTCCATGCCATCTCCAAGCAAGCCACCCTCCCAGCACCTTGATGTGTTAACCAACATGGAAGCACCCCAGCCCTGTAGTTTAGTGTTTTTTATGGAAGTTATTATGTAGAGGCGATTGATGAAATCACTGGCCATTTAGTGATTATCTCAATCTCCAGTTCCTCTCCCCTCCCTACCCTGGGGTAGGGCTGATACTTCTAGCCCTCTAATCAATAGCTTGGTTCTCATAGCAACCAGCCACATCCTTAGGGTATCTAGGGGCCCACCAGAGTTACCTCGTTAATATAAATTCGGGTATGGTTGAAAGGGGCTTGTTACAAATAACACAAGGTGCCCCTCCCACCGCAAGCCCTTCTAAAGGCTTTAGGAGCTTTGTGGTAGGAACTGGAGATGAATACCAAATATATACCTCTTATTATATCACAGTATCACAGGCATCGACTGTGAGGAGAAAACAGACTAGTTCCTTGAGGGAATGTTAATGTTTCATGACACATAGGTTTGAAGTTCACATAGGTCTTTGATCGTTCCTCATAGATCTGTTGTGGTGAGTAAAGGTCTTAACTGCCCTTACTTCTCATAAATGTAAAAACATGGTTCCTGCAGCTGTTTATTCATTGTTTCTATTGTAGTGTTAACTCTGCCTAATGATATGCACACATACATATATATTTGCTATGTACATCTGTGTGTCTATAAGTATATTTGTAGTTTTTTTTATAAATTTGCTTGATCATTAATCTCTTTGCTTTATACATGTATTATACGGCTCCTTTATTTTGTTTAGTATATTAACCACTGAAATTAGTATGGGTTTTCTGGTGATTCTAGCATATCTGCAGTCTTCATCACTGATTTTGGTATTGGTTCAGATGCTCGTGGTGAACTTAGTGTGTGTTATTCATCTACGTAGTTCTGTATTGGCAAATAGATGCTCAAATTTATACAGATGTTCTTACACCAGCAAAAGGATTTAATGGTACATGTTACAGAAACTTTCTCTGATTTTCAACTTTGTTTGATGAAGAGAAGACTGCACAGTAACATAATATTTTACAAGATTTCTTATTCTATCACCATGTATTAAAGAACAAAAACCACCAATTTCCTTTATGGAGAAATGAACAGAATAGTTTCCCTTATCCATTTTTTACGTATCACTGAAAGAATATCATTTTATTAAATGTAACTGTGTTATAACAGGAATCCCTGACATTTGAGGATGTGGCCGTGGGCTTCTCCCGGGAGGAGTGGCGGCTCCTGGCCCCCGCCCAGAAGGACCTGTACCGGGATGTGATGCTGGAGAACTACAGGAACTTGGTGTCCGTGGGTGAGGACGACTCCTCTGTGTCTCTCACAGGGTGCTCTGCCAGTGGTTTTTTTCTTTCTCAGCTACTTAACTCTTTAGTACTCTGACATGATAGATTCTCGCATCCTTTTCTTCTCTCAGACAAGAGGATATAATGTCCCCTCTCTTGAGAGAAAAGCCTTGATGTTTACAGATGTGAAACATTGTTTATCCCCTGAAATGTAACATTATGCCCTCCTGATATACCCCAGGCCACTGAGTCGTCTTCTTCTTCTTTTTTTTTTTTTTAAGGTTATTTATTTATTTTGAGAGAGAGAGAAAGTGTGAGTCAGGGAGGGGCAGAGAGAAGGGAGAGAGAGAGAGAGTCCCAAGCAGGCTCTGCACTGCCGGCGCAGAGCCCAACATGGAGCTTGACCCCGCGAACCACGAGATCGTGACCCGAGCCACAGTCGGACGCTGAACCAACTCAGCCACCCCGGTGCCCCAACCACTGAGTCCTCTATCATTTCTCACGAACAGGGTATCTCACCAGCAAACCAGATGCACTCTCCAAGTTGGAAGGAGGAGAACTTTGGACAACAGAAGATGAGATCGACAGTCGAATCTGCCCAGGTGAGTGAGAAGTTGGCAGGGTGGGGGGTGGCTGCAGAAGCAGTACCCTGGTCAGACAGAGAAGGCGTCACAGCTGTGACAGCCCCTCCCCACATCTGTTTTCCCCTATGGGAACTCTTCTTCTTTGTTGAAATTTCGAGGAAAATATATCCCTTTTTTTCTTTTGAGATCTGATCCCTGTTCCCTGTTTGCTTTATATACTTCTTGTTTTTGTTTGTTTTGCATAGTCATCTTCTTCCTTGGACTTTCTAACCTTCATCCACTGTGACAGTGTCTCTCCTGCTGTGAAATTCCACTTTCCAGGCCTTTCTGGAAAAAAACAACTTTGACTTCCCCACTTTTTTCTCACTACTATGCCTGCTTACCAGGAAATAATGATGTCCTTCCATAACTTCTGACTATACCTTTGACACTTGGTCTCCATGGTAACCCGGCTTTTGCTGTGCATTTATTTCGTTCTTTGCCCCCACCCCCACCCCGGGAACCCCTGAAGTTCTCCATACTTTTGTTCTCGTTTTCTTCTCAGTTCTCCTCAGTCTTAAGTTTCCTCCATTCCCGGGAGTCAACCTCTTTCTCTTTTCTTAAGATGTCAATTGACTTCTCTCTCAATATTGTCTAATGCATGCTTTCATCCTATATATTTTACCCTTCTTCATGGCAGCCAGCCGTAACTTCCCATTCTGTGTGTGAGCACAGGAATCCTCTTCTCTTCATCCTTTTTTTAAAATGCAGGTTCTTGAGGTGCCCGGGTGGCTCAGTCGGTTGAGCATCCAACTCTTGGTTTCGGCTCAGGTCACGATCTCACGGCTTCGTGGGCTCAAACCCACAGAGCATCGGGTTCTGTGCTAGCAGCACGGAGCCTGCTTGGGATTCTCTGTCTCCCTCTGTCTCTGCCTCTCCCTTGCTTGTGCTGTCTCTGTCTTTCTCAAAATAAAATAAATAAACTTAAAAAAAAATAAAATTTAGGTTCTCTTTGAGTTCAACACAACTACACATTTTAAATTGTCCCCATCCTGGCATTATCTTGAATGTTCTCTGCTTGCTGAGCTCTCAAAGATTATTTAATTAACAAGAAAATATCTTTTTTAACATGCCACATGATTGCCAGCCCAAACTGGGTCATAAGTTATGTCTGCTTCCAATGATTTCCTTCATGGTTTTGTTAATTCAGATTTTCCTTTAATTATTAGATGTTATCACTGCATTTATTTTCCTAAAGCTTTTGTTTTCACATGATTTTTTAAAAATTTTTATTATTTATTTTTGAGAGAGAGAGAGACAGAGCACGAGCAGGGGAGGGTTAGAGAGAAAGATGCAGAATCCGAAGCAGGCTCCAGGCTCTGAAGCACTCCCTGACATTATTATTGTTTTGTTGTTGTTGTTGTTGTTGTTGTTGTTGTTGTTAATATTGTAATTCAGTCACACCCTGATACTGGATGTACCCATGTATTATTACTTTTCAATTTGTAAAGTGATGGCAAAATGGGGCACCTGGGTGGTTCTGTAGATTGAGCGTCCAACTTCGGCTCAGGTCATGATCTCACAGTTCGTGAATTGGAGCCCCACGTCGGGCTCTGTGCTGACAGTTCGGAGCCTGGAGCCTGCTTTGGATTCTGTGCCTCCCTCTCTCTCTGCCCCTCCGCCACTCACTGTCTCTGTCTCTCTGTCTCTCTGTCTCTCTCTCAAAAATGAATAAATGTTAAAATAAATAAATAAATATAAAAAATAAATTTAAAGTGATAGCAAATGGAATTTCTACTAATTTTTCAAGAACTTGAGTCTGATTTTTTTTTTTAATTCAAGTATAATTAACATACAGTGTTATATTAGTTTCAGGTGTACAATTCAACAATCTAGGGGTGCCTGTGTGGCTCACTCGGTTAAGCATCCAGCTCTTGATCTTGGCTCAGGTCATGATCTCACGGTTCATGAGTTTGAGCCCTCCAGTAACACAAAGCCTCCTTGGGATTCTGTCTCTCCCTCTCTCTATCCCTTCCCTGCTCTCATGTGCTCATCTCTCTCTCAAAATAAATCAACTTTTAAACAAATCTCACATTTTAAGATGTGATTTCACATTTTAAGATCACATCTTCACATTTAGCATGCATGTTTCACAATGCATGCTAGATTTTCCCCTCATTCTGGACTTCAGTAATATTCCTTATTTTAGTGAGAGACATTTTGTCCAGCAGGCCAAGCCACACAATTCCTGAAGTGATCCTTGAGTCCTCGCTTTCATTAACCTCTTCCCACTTCTCCCATTGAGCCCATCAGTGAACCTTATCTTTTCTTTAAATATATCTTGATTTCCTCTACCTCTTACTTCTCCACTGCTTCTTTAACTGTGTTTCACAAACTGCAATTGCCTTCTTTAATCCTTTGCTTCAGTTGTCTATACCTAGAATAAAATCAGGATGTTTTACAGATTTAACTCAATTCTGATACTATCTACCTGGAAAGAATGTCAGATCCTATAAGCTGAAGGTTCAGTCCCACAAGTCTGTCCCTACTTCAGATGTCAGTTGCAAGTCCAGATTGTTACCTATGCTTCTGTCCATCTGGCTATAAATTGTAGATTCCCATGTCCCCCTCTTTGGGTTCAATTAATTTGCTAGAGTAGCTCACAGAACTCCGAGAAACACTTGTGTTTGCCAGCTTAATAAAGGATTTATAAAGGATACAGATGAACAGCCAGATGAAGAGGTACATAGGGCAAAGTATGAAGGATTTCTGAATGCAGGAGCTTCTGTCTCCATGGAACTGGGGTGCACCACCCTCCTGGCACACGGATGTGTTTACCAACCCAGAAGCTGATCAGATCTTATTTAAGAGTTTCTATAGAGCTTTAAAAAAAAAAAAAAAAATGTTTATTTATTTTGAAAGAAAAAAGAATGAGCAGGGGAGGGGGAGAGAGAAAGAGAGAATCCCAAGCAGGCTCCGTGCTGTCAGCACAGAGCCTGACATGGGGCTCAATATCACAAACCGTGAGATCATGATTTGAGCCAAAGTCGAGTCAAGAGCTTAACTGACTGAGCCACCCAGGTGCCCCGAGAGTTTCTGTACAGCTGTAATCTCTAGTTCCTCCTGCCTTTCCCTTTCTTGGTGGGTGGGGCTGAAAGTTCCAACCTTATAATCGCTTGGTCTTTCTGGGTACCAGCCCCATTTCATGGTTGTGTAGGAACCCTATGCTAAATCGCCTCATTAGCATAAACTCAGTTGTGATTGAAAGGGCTTGTTATGAATAACAAAAGAAACTCCCGTTAGGACATTTAGAAGCTCTGTACCAAGAACTGTGGATAGAGACCAAATGTATTTCTTATTATACCACCTGTAGGATTGTCACTTAAAATAACTACTTCACATGAAGGCCTTTTTAAAACAGTTTTATTCCAAACTAAGATTATGAGAGATGACAGAGTGATTCATTGTTCTCTTCTCTCCTAGAAATCAGGAAAGTTGATGATCCCCTGCAGTGTCAGTTACAAAATCGAAGCATTCAGAAGAGTGTGGAACAATGCTGTGAACATAATACATTTGCAAGCATTTTTAACCAGAGTGAAAGTGATTTTCTGTTGAAACAAAATTATGATATGTTTGATTTACATGAAAAACCTTTAAAATCAAATTCAAGTTTGGAAAGCCAGAGTATAAGCTGTAATTTGGAGAACTCTGCTGAGTTTCATGAAGATGGGAAATCCCTTCTTTATGGTAACCACGAACAATTTTATAGTGTAAATAAATTTCCTGTAGGTGTAAAACCCATTAATAATGATTCCCAGGTCATGAAACAACAGAGAACTCAAAATACGCAGAAAGCCCATGTATGCAGTGAATGTGGGAAAGCCTTTGTCAAGGTGTCTCAGCTCACTGATCATCAGAGAGTTCATACTAGAGAGAAACCTCATGGATGCGGTATGTGTAGGAAAGCATTTTCCAGAAAATCCAGGCTAATTGAACATCAGAGAATTCATACAGGACTGAAACATTATGAATGCACTGAATGTGACAAAACATTTCCTAAGAAATCACAATTCAACATACACCAGAAAACTCATATGGGACAGAAGCCTTATACATGTAATGAATGCGGGAAGGCGTTCATCAAGAAATGTCGGCTCGTTTATCATCAGCGAACTCATACAGGAGAGAAGCCCCATGAATGCAGTCTATGTGAGAGAGCCTTCTCTACAAAGTTTAGTCTCACTACGCATCAGAAAACTCATACAGGAGAGAAACCGTATATATGCAATGAATGTGGAAAAGGCTTCATTGAGAAGAGGCGTCTTGTTGCACATCATCGAACTCATACTGGCGAGAAACCTTTTATATGCGATGAATGTGGGAAAGGTTTCACCCTGAAGAACAGTCTTCTCACACATCAGCAAACTCATACAGAAGAGAAATTGTATACGTGCAGTGAATGTGGAAAAGGCTTTTCAATGAAGCACTGTCTCATCGTACATCAGCGAACTCATACAGGAGAGAAACCCTACACATGCAGTGAGTGTGGAAAAGGCTTCACCTTGAAGAGTCCGCTCATCAGACATCAGCGAACTCATACAGGAGAGAAACCCTATGTGTGTAGTGTATGTGGAAAAGGCTTCACCATGAAGAGTGATCTCATTGTACATCAGCGAACTCATACTGCAGAGAAACCATATGTATGCAGTGATTGCGGGAAAGGCTTCACCGTGAAGAGCCGCTTGATTGTACACCAGCGAACTCATACGGGAGAGAAACCCTACATATGCAGTGAATGTGGGAAAGGCTTTCCAGCAAAGATACGGCTGGTCGGACATCAACGAACTCACACGGGAGAGAAGCCCTACATATGCAGTGAATGTGGAAAAGGCTTCACAGAGAAGAGTCATCTCAATGTGCACAGGCGCACTCATACAGGAGAGAAACCCTATATATGCAGTGAGTGTGGCAAAGGCTTAACCGGGAAAAGCATGCTCGTTGCACATCTGCGAACTCACACCGGGGAAAAGCCGTATGTATGCAGTGAGTGTGGAAAGGGCTTCACCATGAAGAGTACTCTAGGTATACATCAGCAGACCCATACCGGAGAGAAGCCATACAAATGCAACGAATGTGATAAAGCCTTCCGGAAGAAGACCTGCCTCGTACAACATCAGAGATTTCACACGGGAAAAACCTCCTTTGCGTGTACCGAATGTGGAAAATTTTCCTTGCGCAAAAATGATCTCATTACCCATCAGAGAATTCACACAGGAGAGAAACCATATGAATGCAGGGAATGTGGGAAAGCCTTCACGACCAAGTCAGGGCTCAATGTTCATCAAAGAAAACATACCGGAGAGAGGCCCTATGGATGCAGTGATTGTGGGAAAACTTTTGCCCACTTGTCAATCCTTGTTAAACACAAGAAAATTCACAGATAGTCACTTTGGGAAAACCTGTTGCCAGTTGTAGGCCCTCAAGATAATATTTTGCAATGAAGAATGAATGCAAAGAATGGTATTATCTTTAGTGATCAGTTATGTCACATTTTACGTTGACAAAAAATTTACAAAACTGCTCACGCAGCCAGCCTTGATGAAAATATCCTAGGACATTATACATCTAAAAAGTGTTGACTAAGATAGATTCTATGAATGTGACAGACTAGGAAAGCCTTCGGTGGGAAGAAGACCTATCACGTGATCATCACAGATCATGAACGACTAGGAAAGCCTTTGCCCAGAAGTTAAGACCTCAATAGATGTTAATTCACACTAGAGAAGTACTTTCCTATGGTAATAAATATAGTCCGGTCTTGAAGTAACGTATTTGCCAGGAAATCCACACAGAAATAACTTAGGAACACGTTCAATGTGGTGGACTTTAGCAAAATACCGGACAACTTAAGGAAAGAGGCCTTGGGGAAATGATGAAGGACAGTTCTGTCATATGTCTAAACATAACAGATAATACACCTCTCAGACATTGAGAACAGGATACCTTCAGCCATATATCTGACTGCCTTGTCATTGATGTTATCAATTTTAAATCGTGGCAGTTACTCTTATCATGTATTAAATTTTAATATGTACAATGCAGGAGTGTTCTATGAGTGTTCTCTGCCTGTTTCATTATATAATTAACCCTTGAATTTCTTTGTTCCAAGTTTGTTATTACCAAATACTTGAAGTACTTCAGAATGAAACGATATATTCATATGTGTAACTCAATATATTTGGATGTGTTTAACCAAGTTTATAAGCAGCATCAAGTGGTTTATAAAATTAATGTAAATGCAACGTTTGTATAACTTCTAATTTTGTTTAAGTTTATTTATTTTGAAATAGAGACCGAGATGGGAGAGGGCAGAGAGAGAGGGAGAGAGAGAGAGAATCCCAAGCAGGCTCTGTACCATCAGTGCAGAGCCCAATGCGGGGTTTGAGCTCACGAACCGTGAGGTCATGACCGTCAGATGCTTAACCGACTGAGCTACCTCGGCGTCGTATGTGAGTTTTAATTTTGAAGTAAGTTTAGAATCACAAAAACGAGTATTTCTGAGATTTCCTAAATGCCGTTCAGCCAGCTGTTTCCAAAGGTAAAACCTTACATAACCGTAGTCCAATATCAAATAGAGGAAAGTGAAATTATTATACTACTTTCAACCACAGGATTTACTTGGATCTCACCAGTTTTCACATGCACTCATTTTTGGTTTTTATATATAGTTTTAAGAAACTTTATCACATATGTAGGTTTCTGTAACCAACACCACAGTAAAAATTCAGAATGTGTTGTCGACACAAACTCCCCATGCCACCCCTTCACAGTGACACTTTTCCCTGACCCTAAACCCTGGCATCAGAGATTCTATAAATTTGTCATTTACAGAACATTAATTAGAAAAGTAGACTCATTTAGCACTTAATTTTTGAAGTTGGCTATTTGACCTTATGAGATAATAGGAAATATATAGGTCTCTGCCCCTTGTGGCCAGCTGCCCCTGGTTGCCGGCACACGCTCCTGAAACCCTTGTAAATTCCTAAGTGATAAGTGCGTTAGGAGCAATTTTTATTCTAATGAGGTGACTCTGGGTGGGCTCCTGTAAGGCTTCTGGATGAGGACCAAGCCATAATTAAAAAGTTTGCAACATTCTGCCCAACACCCATCCTCCAGGGAGGGGAGAGGGAAATTGAGTCAATAATTGGTCAGTCCTGAAGAAGCCTCCATAAAATCCCCAAGGATGGGTGAGCTTCCAGGTAGGTGAACACAGCCAGGTTGGGGGAGGGCAACATAACACAACTCCACCAGGACGGAAGCTTGTGCTTGGGACCCTTCCAGGTCTCATTCCACGTGTCTCTTCATCGGGCCGTTCGCCTATATGCTTTAACCTAGCTTTTAACTGGTGTCCGTGTTTCTCTGAGTTCTGTGAGCTGCTCTAGCAAATCAATGGAACTGGAGGAAGGAGCTGTGGGGAACTCCCACTTGTAAGCAAGTCCGAAGTTGTAGGTAACCTGGGGACCTACTACTGGTCCCTGGGGTATGAAATGAGGAGGGGGGTTCATTCGTGGGGCCGAGCCCTTCACCTGTGGGACCTGACACTCCAGGTAGCTCGTGTCGGGATGGAGTTACACTGCATGGCCCGGCTGGTGTCCTGGAGAATTGCAGGGGTGTGCGGAAATCCCCACACGCATTTCGTGACCGGAAGTGTCCCAAGGGTCGCGTGGCAGCCAGTGTGAGTAAAGGCGAAGCACGGGAGGAGGCCGAAACTGTAGGTTTGTCCAATACAGACCTCAGGAAAAGTCAACCCAAGATCCAGCCAGAAGCTCTGTGGGGTCTTCTCTGCACTTGGACGCCGGACTTCACGCAAACTGGCTGCACCCCAGGTGCTCCTGCCTGAGTGCTCAGCTTGCCCTTTTCCCCAAACTGATGATCAGAATGCGCCCCCAC